TTCTTGTTTCCAGGCGAAGTTTGTTTGAGAAAAGTTGTCAATAGACCTGATGGACAGACCCAGCAAGTAAACGAGGTGACGAGGATCATGTCCTCTGACATTCAGAGGCTAATTCTGGGCAACTGAATCTGTTTCTGTGAAAACTGAAGAACTACACGATTCCAATTTTTTCACTTTGTTATGATGTGAACTAAAGCCAGTAAGAGTCAACCAATCAATTTCTTTCAAGACAAGGCTGCGCACCAGCCAATCAGACGCCAGTTGGTTGTGCACTCTGAAATTTAGTCTAAGCGATGGAGATTCGGTATTCTTCTAAGCTGCAGTTGAAAGGCATTCAAATGGAACCAACTAGCGCCCTGCAGCACTCGTCAAACAATGATCTACAAGCTTTTGCATGCATCAGGTTGAACCATCGTGCATAGTGGGCTGGACGATGCTTCGAAGCTCCTCCACATGTTATCTCGAAGATCAAATGAGGTCTTCCGGTGATAGTCAGTCGAGACCGACTGAGTTCATCCAAAAACCAAGCACAAGCCATCTCGCACTTCCAGTGCGAAACCATATTGTTGTCAGTAGCCCACTTCAGTCTCTCAGTGTAATGGATTTAACGCCAACGACACGACACAGAAGTCTCCAAAAACCTCAGTCCCTCAACGACCATGAAGAAGAGCTCGCCAGAACTACTGCTCTAGCAGTTGTGGCCGCTAGCGAAAGACAATCAAGAACAGCCTTGACAGAAGTTCCTTTGCATTTGTATCATTTCTCCTCGGAATATACACTGTCTGATCCATTTGATGGACGACATCAAAGCAGCTTTAGAGCTAGTAACATGCACCCCAGGAACGTGCGTCCTGGAGCATTTCTTTCAGCAAGACCATCCGAAAGTTTCCATCAGCCGGTGGACGATCGAGTGAAACTAAATAGGAGACAGCAAGAACAATTGAACGTCAACTATGAAATGAGGTCCATAAAGAAAAGTCAGAGCTTTCGGGGTACGGGGAAATCGGAGAACTTTCCCAAACTGGGAGGGATCACAAGGCACGCCTCGGAACATATAAAATATTCACACAAGGGACTGTTCACAACCGTCCAGAATAAACCATCCGGAGGTATCTTTTCAGACAGCTCAAAGAACAGGTGGCTTCGAGTGAATCAGTCATCCGTGACTGAATCTGGAAACGATACGAAACAAAGAGCCAAACAGAGGGCGATTTCCCAGGCAGAAATTGATTTCGCCAAGGAACCTGCTTTCGAAAAACTGACCATGACAAATGGCTTTGTAGAAGAAGAGTGTGATGCGAAAGTCTATCAGTCTCCAACTCTGAAGGAACAGTTTTTTTCTTTCTTCCAACCAACTGACAACAAACTTGCAATGAAATTGTTCGGCACAAAGAACGCTCTGAATCGCGAAAAATTACGCCAAGAACAGCATGGAAAGTGGATCATACACCCCTGCAGCAATTTTCGGTAAGTTTCATTTCCTCTTACTGGTAGGAGTATTCTTCAACTACTAGTTTTATTATCAGAATCCCAATTAAGTTTATCATTCAGCTGGATAACCTTAGAAGGTCTAGACTTAGTGATGAGCGCAGTTGCACACAAGTAGGGATTGCTGCAGGTGAAGACAGTTCCTTATTGGACTTTGTCTCACTCTGGTCCAATAAGATTGAATAACAGAAAAGAAGTCGTCTAACGAATGTTTACATTATGTCCAACGGCCGGCGCAATCTACCGAGTTCTCAGCATCGTCATTATCATTTGTAAGAACCGCGTACTTGTCATACAGAGGTTATGGCTGCCACAATTTTGTTCACCAATGATTTGGGGAGGTGGGATAGGTAGCTGCGCATCGAAGACGGGAGCTGTATAATTGGTGCGTAACTTCAGGACTGTTAGGTGGGGGGATTGGGAAGGGAGCTATGCATTGTAGGCACAAGCTTGGATTCTACGAGTGCAACATGCAACGCTATTCCAACCCGCTGTTGTCAAACTGCACTTCCCCCAAAGCAACAAAAAGGACCGTGATTAATCATCCATAAATAACACTATAAAAAGAGACAACACTAAGTTGGACAAAAACGTACACCTTTGATTAAGCTAGCGGAATTTTTAAAACAGAAAGCGAGGCAATATATTTGACCTTCAGTGGAGTAGTGGTGTTTCCTGTTTATATTAGTGGTCTCCTGTTCCGAGAGAGATGCTTCTCTTTAGGACGAGCAAACACCACCCTATAATATGTACAAGTCGTTTCAGACTGTTTTACTTTAAACAACTTACCGCTTGTGTTTTCATCTGTTTTACTGCCGCTGACTGAACACGCTCCAATGCATTTGACGCGAAACCAACAACGATATTAATTGAAAAAATGAAAATGCTGGAATCCAGCTTAGCGATAATATTAAGTTACTTTCTGATGAACCTAACGAAGATTAATTCAACGAAGCGAGGATGTTTTTCCTGACCAAGATAGTTCCCTTGATCAGATTTCGGCTTCTGTACAGTATTTTGTTGCTGCACGTTTTTTTCTCTGGAAGCACTTGGGACTTTTGTATGGAATGCTTTGAGAACAAGAAGATTACGGTTTCATCACGCGAAAAAATCACGGGCAAATCTCCCTATCCTGTGCGCGTTCAGTGAAGATTTATAATACTTTAACCGATCATGTTCGTCATTCGGTTAGATTGAGTTCATTGTTGAGTGGCATATTTTAGGTCTTGCGGGTTACGCTGCAAGCACTTAAGCGCGAATATTCCTTGCGTGGGTGACTTCAAGTTGATAGCCGATTTCCGACAATAATACACGTTAAAAATAACTAAAATAGAGAACGGATAGTAAATTTTACGTCGTGGTGATTTTTGGACTAGACCTACGGCGTCATCAAATAGACCCTAATCCTCATGACCCTATTGAATTTGTTATTTCTATTATGTAGCACTCAAAGAAGAGGTATCTGACGAATAAAGTGTTTCCAGGATCTCGTCCTCTCATCAACACTCACCCAGTGGTTGTACAGGCAAAATGCCACAAATTAACCGGTAAAACTACAGTGCAAGTTATCTCGCGTCGGGAACCGTAGACATGCATTGCGAAAAATTACTTGACTGGTAGATGAAAAGGTCAACTGAATGAATGTCGCAGCGTCTGCGTGATTAGTGGGCCTGTATGTCAGGGGACACACTATAACACCAAACGAGAGATGGGCGCTCGTGCAAAGCGCTTCTGGGGACACACGTCTAGTATGCGTGGGCGTATTGTCACAGGTCGGACTGTTGCCAAACCGCGTCCTTGTAGAGACTTCAGCAGCCCGTACGAAGCCTAGTAGATGACGCGACAGGTCTAACAACATGGCTTGCGTGAGGTGACAGTACTTCAGGCAATTCGCTCTTCTTGAGTTGTCTAGAGGGATTCGGCTGGTAATGGTAGAGTGCGCTCTCGTATTCTGTTTTTGGGTTGTCTAAATTTTCCCCAACAGACTGCACACTTCAACCTTACTGGACGCAATGAAGAAAGGATTTTCTACATATTTTTCGCAGAAACGTGTGTATCCAGTATGCCTAAACTTTACGGGCCTTTGTGGCAACAGTACTGAGATCCTGCTTAATACCAGTATGATGCTCCACTTGAAACTCAAGGAGAAGGGGAATATCCAAACCCAAAACCCTGATTGTTTTCCATGTTTCCTTGCTTTTGTGGGGCTAGATGCCTCGGGTGAACATCTAGGCAACTCAAGCAGAGTGAATCTGAAGTATCGTCACCCCACACAAGCTATCCTGTCAGGCCTCTCGCGCCAGCTACTAGGCTTCGTACGGGCGGCTGAAGTCCCCACAACGACGCGGCTTGGCAAAAATCGGACCTGTTACAACACGCATACTAGACCTGTGTCTGTACAAAGCTGGGCGCTTTGTACGAGCGCTCGCTATTCCAGGAGTGTGAACCGAGCGTTGAGACAGACGCCGTCAGGCGTTGTTTAAGCTACAGAAAGTCTTGAATACCTAGCGGCTACTTGAAGGATTTTGTCTAGAGGTAAATGAATTTCTGTCCTCGTAAAAGGGTCGGGAACACCTAACACATTCTACCAAGAGTTCCATCCGTAGAGTTGGCGAAAACCAAAATACACCAATAGCTGGAAGAGAGAGGTGGACTTTTAGTTGCGGGGAAATTCCACAACACAACCCTCAAATTGTTTTTCATTATGTTTGCGAAATTTCTAAAAACGAGGGTCCCAGAAATGTTTTTTTTTCGCTCGGATGTTTACATTTGTAATTTCCATTAAGGAACTATTCAACATGAAAAATTTGTTTTCTACAGACTTATTTCGGTGCATTAATTCCAGAACATCTGAACTAGACTGGGAGAAAACAAGCAACGCACTGTCTACCATCTTGATTGACGCCATACATAGCAGTCGTTTGCGTGAGCTAGTAGTTGAAAACATGTGCAGAATAAAATCGTGACTTTACTGAAAAATGAACCTCAACAACAGTATTCCTAACTTTACACCATAAACATCTGTCAGCAATGTGAACAAGTAAGACAAATTTTCAAGTGCGGAAACTTCTTAGCCTAATTACAGCTGGTTTTTTGGTCCAACGGAAGAAAGTAGAAGTCCTTTTTTAAAAGTTAAATCTGTTACCATAGTTTGGGATATTAGGCGTGACAAAACTCGGTACTGTGTTCGGGATCTTGGCGTTCAAACTTTCGGCTAATCCGAAGGTACAGCTTAAACGGACGATGCACACTACCTGAAAACGACTTTGCTTGTTTGTGTAACCAAGGCAGTTGTCATTTCATTAGAAGGGTTTTGCAGTGTGTTTCCACTGAGACAGTTTTCAAAAACATTACTGGTGTCATTCTAAACAAGACAGGAAGGAATCCTAAAGTTTACTTTTATGTGCATGAAAACATCACTTACATCCTAGACCAGCCCTCTATGGAAGAAGAAAACGGAAAAGATATCAGAACACAGAAATAGGTTCGAAGACCACAACTAGTCTTTAAGCAGTCACCTTAGGATGCCTTCTGTTTTTAATCACAAACATCGGTACTCTGGCTGAGCTCACATGTTTCAGCGTTGCCATACAGCAGGCGAAATATCTAGTCAGATTGTAGAGAAATTCACTGTAAATTACGGTTTATCTCTCGCTTCGATAACTGACATCACGGTATACGTAAGCCTGTGTAGGAACATGATTTGAACGCGGTGACATTTATTACCGGGGGCTATGATAAACAAACTGCTCCCAACTGCTGAATATCTATCACCAAATCACATCTGGTCCCGAGTGCCACTACTTTAAGTTATTTTCCGCTTTCACTTAACCGCTACACTAATTCTTGTGCCCAGAACGAAACATAGCCACAGTGTGCAAATTAGGCCTTTGCGGCGTCTTATGGCAGCAGAAGCCTACTTCTTACCGTGTTACAAAATGGTTAGCATAATTCGATAAAAATGGGGGACCAGTAGAAGACGTACTATAGCAGTTCGCTAAAAGCAGTAGAAACCTACACCTGAGCAAATTTTGCAAACGTGAAACAGAGGAGGTTGTGACCAAATTAAGGGACTTTAGCAACAAAGTGACACCTGTATTTTGACGTTCACTTGCTCATTCCCCCCCAAAATTTCGTAGTTAGGGCACTTGTGGGATTATCAGACCGGGTATTTTCAGAATAGTATTGGTTGGAGAGCTGTGACCTACAGCTGCGAATTACGTTGTTGCGAGCAAGAGGTTTAACTGAAACTCAGTTGAGTCCCTCCTGTACGATGTTATTCAACTGAGTAGGATGAACGGAGTGTACTTCTTGATTCAGCCGGCTCGATATCCTTGATATTTAATAAGGTCTCCTCAACTTGACATACCACTAATAAGGTTTATGAAAGTTCCTTAAAAGCCCACCCCTTATTTTCTAATCTCGTGGCCAATTGAGTGGGTTAAGCCCATTGGTTTCCATCAACCTTCCATTCTAACTCAACACCAAATTATACAAATTCCATTGTACGCTCATTTGCAAATTAAACTGGTGTTAATCGCACACTCAAGTGAATCTACGTTGAGGCTGTCGTTTATTATTCTGTTCAAGTAGAATATATGTTTGATAGAAGGAAGAAACTGGTAGAGATTTTTAAATAGTTATCTGAACTAACACATACCAATAACCACGTTCATATGTTTTGAAACAGCTGTGCGGTGCAGAAGAGAAATAGTCCACTGGCGAGCAATTTGTCACATTTCACATAGGACTGCTTTGAAACTAAATCGAAAAATTCTGTTACTGGAAGAAAATGATGGAGCTGATTTTTCATTGTGGGCTGATTGTTTTCTGGTATTTTATAATCGATGGATGTGGGCCGGTTTTCGGATCGGCCGATTTCCAATGTCACACCTCCCTCCTATCTAGTCGGGCTGATCGATTGCTTGCTATTAATCCGTGGATAAGGACTCATCCGTTCCACAATGCTTGATGGACCTGACA